GGGAAGGTTTTTGGCGGGTTAACACAAGGTGATATTAAAGAGTTAGACTATTAGTTGGTTTAGTTATATTATTATTATTCATATACTCGTTTTATATGCTTTACATTATATATCGTTCCTTCTAATCCCCTTTAAAGAGTTCACGAAAAAGGGAAGTTTTAACTTAAACATTAAAAGAGCAACAAACCTCAATAATCATATAAGCAAATTTAAAATGCTTCGATTGCATGATATAGTTTGAACTTTAAACCAAGACAGAACCATGGACTGCTGTTTAGACATGGTTTGGTTTGGTGTTATATATAAAAGACTGCCATTTCAATGTATTTTTATATCTATTTTGTTAAGGATATTAGTGTAAAAGAAATATATCAAAGTACCCTGATACCTTTTAGAACCTTTTACTGCTCACGACAAAAAACACACAGTGGCCGTTTTAAACAGTTAAAATGAAAAGCCGCCATGATTAACTGCGGGAGGCATTCGCTTCATTTTTGGTTCTCAAAGGTGTCAGATGTAACCGGCGATTACAAAAACGCAATCAGGATTTTCTGCGTTTTTTAGCGATAACAAAGTATTACTTACTTATAGCTGCCTAAAAAGTGTAAAAAAACTGTACATTATATACTTTGCTACACAAAGAGCTATTTTTGGACAGAAACTTTTCAGTAACCCAGAAGGGAACCTTCTTCAAAAAGTAATTTAAGCTAGTATTGCTTTTAGAAAGTTAAATCTTAGTTTGCAGCGTTGTTACCCAGTTTTTGTTGAGATAATCTTAGAAGGGTTACCAATTAAGTGCTCTAAACACATTGTTTAGCCTAAATTAAAGTACTTTTTAAAGGCAAAAAAATTTTTTTTTTCTGCCACTTGCATTTCTTGCTTTCCCGTCTTATTTACATATTGTTTATCTTTGTTTGCTAGTTGTTACCGTCTATACCTCGACGGAAAATAAGAAAACGCAACTTTATTTCTGGGTTTCGGCCCGCTGGTCACGCTTATACAGGAGAACAGAGCTTTCCATTTAGAAGAGATTTAATAAAGTAAAATAAAGTTGACGTCACGTTCATCTGTGGTTTCTGACGGGGTATTTCATTACGGCTTAGTGTCATGCGCATCAGAGGATTGTAACATTTTACACGAAAGCTGATTGGTCAAAATTTGTTTTCGATGACTGATTGCTCGAAATGGTGTGGTCTTTTTCCGAGAAATTGGCGCCATTTTATTGAAGGCGAGTGTCGATTATGAAATTGGCCCCTTCTCACAGCTATTTTGTAGTAACTTCAGTACACCCGGGTCGTGCTGAAACTGTTATTTTGGATGTACGCAAAATGTTGACTTATATAGCTATTGAGTTCACTCACGAAAACGGCATAAATGGGAAAAAAGCTTGAAGTTCTTATTATAAATCAGCTTGACAAGCGAAATAGAAGATTATCAAATCTGGTAGGTGCGCCAAAAATCACTTTTAAGTTGTTTGCTTGTCTTTTGGTTACCTTTTTTTCTCTTTTAACCCTTTCACTCCCAAGATCTCATTAGTGATTCTCCTTACTGACTGTTGTACAATTCTTATAATTTTAGTTCTGAGAATTTGTTACTGGATCAACTGATAATTCTTTAATTGTTATTTCTCTTTATTCTCATCACTTGTCTGTTTGAAATTGTATGGATATTGTCAGTAAAAATTCTGTCTTGGTCACTCATAGGAATTAAAAGGTTAAATGACCATTTTCTCTCCTTCTAAAGCCGCTTTAACTCTGTGAAATGTAACCTCCAAGGTAAAAATAACGTCATCGAAAGGGTTGAATTACGCAATTCATTTCCAAATAACAGCAACAATCTGTGGTAAAGGTACTTAAGATACCGAATAATGGAACGTTCCATGACAAAATGCGGTTACTTTGGCCACTCCGCTTCGATCTGGAAGCCTGCTCTTTCCGCGCTAAACATCATGCGAACACCAATTCAACCAGAAGGGAGAGAATTAGGCTTCCGTAGACTTCTGCTTCTACTTGCAGCTTTGACTACAGTCTTCCCTTCTTTCCGAATTTGCCTATATTTGCAACATTTTTTACTTCTTCATACTTTCTGTCACTTGGCTAAAGTTTCCGAATAAAAACTCCTCAAATTTTGTCTGTATTAGCTGGTAATTGTTAAAATTAAAGCAGTGTTTTTGGTCGCATTTATTTGGGACATTCAATTTTCCTCTACAATTTAGTTTCGAGGATCTCGCTCGGAGGATAACCCAGATAAATTGTGGGAACTAGGTAAAGTGTGTTGACTTGAAATCCATTGGTCGCCATTTCGAAGACCCATCGAAAAAGAAGTGGAACAAAGTTGCAGTGTTTCCTTGTACGTGTCGTCTGCTTGGTCAGAATAATTCCATTCTGAACTTGAAGTATGATCGCTTATCACTTATGTGGAAACGATCTATTATGTGGAGCTAGGAACACAGACTATGATAAAAACAACGTCTCTCCACGCGTGGATCTTCGGGAAATTACTTGCCATTTGTAGGAGAACCCTGACAGACACGTAAATCTAACCCTCCTTATTTACTACTTCAAGATATATGCACCCCAGAGAGTCTATTGTCGAATGGAATCTTTCGGTCCCTCTTGGGGTTTTTAGTGTGATATGAAATTTGTAATTTGCATACGAGAGAAGACAAGACACTGTCAGGGCGTTTTGGCAGGCTAGTTCGATAAGAAAGTAAACTTTTTATGTTCCATCAGTCATCCTTAAACAGTCGTCTCTGAGGGGCTTTCTTTTAGGGTGTCAGGGAAAGTTCGTGTCAGGCACTGAATGGTATCCTTGACATGTCTATTGACAAGTTTGGACGAGCTTTTTAACTCCTCCTCCTCTTCCTCTTTCTCTGAGGACATAAAGGCTTATGGTTAATTAGGTGAATTTCACGCAAAGACGTTGTGGGTTAGTTTGATTGAAAAGGAAATAATGCATGGGACCCATCATTTTCTCTCGCTTGATTGTATGACAAACTTCATCATATTATCTCTAACTGGATATGGACACGGACTTGACCAAAACTCCTAAATTACATTTTTATTTACACTCTAATTATACACATTAAGTATAAAGTACAGTTATCTCTTGATGTAGAAGGAATATTTTGAAAACGTAGTAAGGTGCGTTTTCCCCTTGACGGGTATTCCAAAAGTGTTTGTCGACGGTTGCACACTTTTTAATTGACTCTGTAAGCATGATACTGGTTACATTTTGCCGAGATAACATGTACGTTACCAGAAACTCAACAAGATAAAAAGAAGCCAGAGAAGCTCTGCCTTAAACAAGAATTCTCACTGGATGTCCTTCCAGTTAAAAACCACATTAGGTATCTACCCTAGTTTTTATGCACTTTCGAACACGGAAATACAATATAAGTATATTTTTGTAAATACGGGGATGCTATTATTTACATAATCCACAAGCATCCCAAGTTCAGGATGCGAGCTTTCAGTGAATAAGCTGTTCGATGACGATAACATTGCGCGGCATGCATTTTATACAGAGTGAATGCGAAAGTCAACCGGCGATCTATCCTAAATATTCTCAAAGAGCGAAAATACCTCCGTTTACCTTGAAATTTCCTCGTATTTTTGGTCTCATGAGTATTTTGGGAGCAGGCAGAAATCAGTGAAAACGATTTTGAGCTTAAGCGTTCTTCAGAGGGCGGCAAAGGGTTTAAAGGTGACGCTTGATAAGACTTAAAATTATAATTTGACGCGTGAATTTTACAGGATGACAAAGTGATTTGAGATTTGAAGTTTTCACTTTGAAATTCGTGAAGCGTGAAATACCGTTTAAAGCACACGTGATTAAATTTTTCTAAAATTCGTTTCTGAAATAAGATCAGCCCCTCCCCCCTTTATCACCCTCTCTGTACTGTTTAAGAAACGATATCGAATGAGAGGAAGATTTTACTCGTGAAGCTGTTGGGAGCTTTGGATAAGTTGGTAAGAATATGATATGCGAGGTGATCAAGCGACAGACGAGGACTCATTTTGTATTGGCCGAGATACAGCCAGTGTTCTAGATCGGTCAATGCTAGTTTCTGCCGTGTGTGACGCTTCCTGATCGTTATACGACGCTACCGCTCCACTCCTACAGCAAAAACAAAAGCTTAAAAAGTGACGTATTGCCATCCTGAACCCAGCCAACCTAAGGGCGTACACAAAGGGATTGATCAAAGAATTGAACGTGATCAGCACAAAATGCATATCTCTGAGCCAGTGAATGACGTAACAGCTGCATGTGCTGCACAGATTCATCACGAAAATCATGATGCATGCTGGACCATAGCAGGCCAGGAACGCCAGCAACATCACCAAGTGGGTCTTGGTGAGCTTTCTCTCCCATAACATGTTTCTTTCTTGGGCCTTTTTCCTTTCTGTATCGCCTTGGTGCAAGTTATTCAAATCTTTGACCTTTTGCTTCACAACCACAAATATACGAACGTAGGTAAACACCAAAATGAAAATCGCGCAGAGAAGCGTCAGGATGGCAAAGATGAAGGCATACATGACAAACCCTGTGACAAACAGCAAACCGCTGCTAGCAAACGACAAGAGCCAGATAAAAACAGACGCTTGGGCGACTCTCGAGTTGGTCATGTTGGCACGATACCACATGGGCGAAGTAATGGCCAGATACCTGTCAATGGTCAGGATGCACAAACTCAGAAGGGAAGCGGTACAACACATAAAGTAAACAAACTGTGACAGCCATGAGAAGCTGATTGACAAGCGAGCGGCCTCCCTCACATGGGTGTACATTGAGAACGGCTCGACCATGGCGCCAACTATCAAGTCAGTTATGGCTAGGTTCAAAACTAAGAGAAGGTAAGGTGTACGGCGGAGGCTCTTGTTAGGGTCAAGAAGAACTGATAGGATAATTAGCATATTACTAGGCACCGTGATGAGGGAATACACGGCAGCTACAGACAGAGTGGTCAGAGAGACTTCTTTTGGTGCCCAGACTCCTTTGCAGTGGCTTGCTCCCAGACCCATTTTATATTCTTCCAGGTAAACGTTCAGCTAGTTATGAATCTGATGACCAAAATAAAAATTTGATTAAATTATTTATTTGAAATCCTTATTACGTTTTCGTTTGAGAGAAAAGCTACTGAGTACTAGACCTAAGAGCCTTTTGCCTTCTCACCTCGATCTTGCAAAGGATTTGGGAATTTTTCCTCTCAAATTCTATCGATAGCAATTCCGTAAAACTTTTGACAATAAAAATGAACGGTAAAACACGATAAACGGACAATAAGAACATACAAAGAGAGGAAATAATTAGAAGCTAATTGAAAACCACATTAAAAATAAAAATTAAAATTAAAAACCTAGTTAATAACCTTTGCTCGAATTGAGTTCAACTTCACATTGAGAGCAGGTCTCAGTTCTTGAATAAAAAAACATTTCACAAAGTAGGCAATCGAATTTGTTCATACACTTCTTTAAAACACTAAAAATTCTTCGTAAGATCCCCTGAGGCCAAAGAACTACTTGCCGCGAAAATGCTTGCCAATCGATGAAATCGAATTTCTGTGTTCTTGAAAGCGTTGGTGCAGATGGTAGCGTGTAAGACCAACATAACCTACATCGCACAGTTCACATTTAAATTTCAAATTCTATTGAAGTTGTTTTCTTTTTGAAAGTTTGGGTCTATAAAAGAACCTTCCTTTCTTTGGTGTGTTGTTATGAGGTTTTTTTATAGAAAGAAAGCTGTCGGCCTACCTGTTTTCCCGCCAAAAACGTGTTTTTTTTTCGTTCACCTGAAGGCTAGCTGTTCAAAATTTGCTGCTTTCATCAGTAAATAGCTTATTTCGGAATGATAAGTCACGATTTAAAATGATTTTGATCTAGTGTTGAGCTCTGTAGTTCAACCTACGACAACAAGTGACAAGCCGCTCATCTCGTCGGATTGTTAAACTTATTTGAGATAAACAATATTGTGTCAGAAGGCATAGTGTATCAAAAAGTATGAAAGGATACTACTCAGCTCAAGACTGTTCCATCTAAAGAAACGATCGAATCATTTTACTTTAATGGCTCAGGAAAAATGAAGTCTTCTTTTGAAAAGAAAAGTAGAATCCTATCAGAAAGAGCGAAAAAAACGTACTAAAGGATTTGTCATACGTCATACGAGAGCTCTTGAAATTACCTGAATTGCAGTTCAGAATCGACTCGCTCACTCTGTTTAGGATGTTTACCCAACAACCTAAAGTGCTCGACCGGATAACTCCGTTCATGAAGAGAACTGCTTTTTGCACTCGCAACTTTGCGACCAGATCACGCAATTCGTAAATTGTACCTACTTGATATAGATATTCCTCACAATCAGAGAAAACTCCTCAAAAGGGCTCTTTTATTCTCTTCCGACAAACAGGAAGATATCGTAAAAGGATTTAGAGCAATAACAGAAGCCCTGTTAATGAGATTTTCGAGAATTAGATCTTAATAAAAACTGCAAATAAGGCCGGCAAATCTTGGTGTGTGGCATGCAATGATATCTAACTTAGTTTGAAGCATCTTCTGTTGACTTGAAGAACAATTGCAAATATTAACGGCAACTTTCCTAAAAGGATCGGCACGTAAGAGCTATTTTTTAGCCCCAATATTGAACTCCTGCAAATTGTTTCACCAAAAATAAAGGAGGAATACTGTTGACACTCCTATATGCCTATATGACCTCTGTGCAACCAAAACGAAAATTAACTTTGTATGTACAACACTGACTTGGTTAACTTGAAGGTAGTTTGATGACCGCAGAAATGAGTTTTCTACTTAGAGAACAATTCTTTTTTGTCTCGCAAAGCCTGGGATTATAGTTGCTTGTAATAAAAAAGACTTTACACATGTTACGAATAAATATTTCTCACGAATCAAAGGCACCGCTCTTACATCTAAAATAACTGAGAAATTAGGATGGGTACTAATTTTAAGTCACCTTTTTTTTTTTTTAAATTTCCATTCGTTTCATGAAATTTTCCTAACGTTTACATTTTCTTTTTTTTTTTCCCAAGAAAACAATCTGGGTCCCATATGACTGGCCTCTACGCGGTGGTTCGATGAGGTGGCTAATGTTGAAATGCGCATGCCCGCGGAAAGGTTTGACATAATAGTTCAGTCTTAGACTGTCAAAGAAAACAGATTTAACTATCACCTAAGGAAACTTCTGTATTAGCATTGCTAGAAAAATACATCCTTTGCAGCGTGTGTAGAGACACTTAATATTGTCCGAGTGAATCTAGAAATAAAGTTTTTGTTTTCGCTAGCCATTAATTAACGCACACATTTTCAGGAAATAATTGTATAATTGCATAGTTGTCAATTGTTGGCAGTGCATGGTGAGGTCTCAATAACAAAACATTTGATTAGATTCCCCAAGCTTTTTGGGGACCATTTTCCATTAGTGTTAAGGGCTTGTCAAGGGGTGATTTCAAATTGTGAAATATTAAATATCATGTTGACTTGTGATTAGATTCTTTTTATTTCGATCTTTTAACGATGGCTGACAGTATATGCATTGGAGAAATGGACAGGATTGTAGAATTAACTTGCTATCGATATGTTTTTACCTGTGATATCAACAAGTGATATGATATTAAAAATTATCTCCTTGATCATTTAATAGGTATAGTAAAAAGGAAATTGCTGTTTAAAATCATATGCGTTGGATGGAGACGTCTTCGGTCATTTATTTTAATGGATTAATTGCATCAGCGGTTTGCCGCACAATTTGTTTTCATAAGTGGCTAAAATTTACTCTATCTTTTAAAAAAAGCAAGTGAATTTCTTATTTTCTCAGTCAAAGTGTTTTATAACTTTTTTGGCTTGTTTAGAGTCTCTTCTTTGGGCTGAAAAACTGTTGCATGATTCTTTAGAGTGAACAAAACCCGAGAAAATTTCCTGAAACGATGACATTGGAAAAGGTTGTGGTAAGTGGGTTTAATGTAGTGTTTTGTTCAAGTGCATTGCACATTGTGCATTTGCGTGTCAAATGGAAAATGCCAATCACATCTGAACTAAGTTTGATTCCTTTGACTACTGCTCTGGTGTAGGGATACAACAAAAGCCAATGTCTTTATGACTTTGTGCCTTTCTGAAAAGCTCAATGTCATTCCTCGTGTTATCATAAATCGCTGGCTGTCTTTCATATCGTTAATCTAACTATTTAAAAGCAGAAATGTGGGATACGAACCGAAGGATGCACAGTCTTCACAAAAGGTTCAGGAAAAACGATACTTGGAACGACTTTTGCACATTGATGCAAAAGCTTCCCGTAAGGTTTTCCAACAAATTTCATCAGAACGACCTCAGTGTCACTATAACATCTTTCAGAGTTATGATTTTTTAAAAAATTAACGATGGCTATGAAGAGGAGAAAAACATACCTTTGAGATGAAGAGTTGACTGAAGAGGGAAAACCTTACTTATAAAAAAGAACTAGATAAACTTGCGTACGAAGAGAACATTCTTTGTCCTTAGCGAGGCTGTTATCGTATGTTTGAACACCTAACTGCGTTGCAGATAAGTGTCTACTAACCACAAAATCCAGTCAAACCGGATTTGAACCGGGGGAGTTATGCAAATTGCACCGTAGTCAAAACTATAAAGCAATTAGGAATTAATCACGTTTTCACCATAAAACCGCTCTTCAAGAAAAAAGAAACCAATAGAAGGAGAAAAAAAAGGCGTGATCCACTTAAAGGAATACAATATTTATTTCGGAATGGTACACAAGATTGAAAAAATGAAAACAAAGACATTTAAATTTCTTTTTCATGTGGGATGAAAAGAAAATGTTTTTTTTACTATGCTGATGTATAGAGACGCACGCTCCATCAATTAGAACTTCAATTTCCCTATGATTATTGAATTAATCATTATGAAAAAAATATAAACAGCGGAAGGAAATTTCCTTTAGTGCACACGCTTTTTTAGAATGGTTAGATCTAGCTTTCTCTTTTCCGTAACTTTGACCTGAATTTATCTTTTCTTAACAGATCATGAGTGATATTCTTTTAAAATCGTCTACTGAGTCTTGAATAAACTAATACATGTTTAAATAAATTAATAAGTAAATAAGGTTAGTCACACAAGTGATAATAACTAAAAATAAACAATGTCATGTTTTTATTTTAATCTGCGCCCATTTCTTACAATATTACTTTAACTTTTAGTCTTTTTAAAAAAAAATTTCCGAAAATCTTCGCTTAGCGCACCAATACCAGAGTGGATGGATTAATATTCTATTTATGGTAATGCTCATCGTGTCATCTTACAAGTGTAAAAGAAAGACCTCAATTTGTCGAATTTTAAAACGAAGAATAAAGCAGATGTTTGCATGAGTTAAAACTCGTGTAGTTGTTGCTAAGAGGTAACCTTATAGCACCCAGTATTGAGTGGATATAGTTAGTTTTCTCTTGCACTGGATCCTTTCTCGTGATACAAGAGATATCCGTCTTGCATAATTTGAGTGAAATACTATTTGGATAACCATTTCAAAAAATCTTGGGCGCTAAATTATTCAGCCAAGTTCAACGATACTGCAATATTGGGTGGCTCTCAAGTCGGAGAAAGATTGATAATTGTGGGTGTTATTTCCCCTAGGAAGATATTTTATAGTCATTAACATTTGATTTGTGAAGTAGCAGTTAGTGATCAAGGAATATGAGCTTAAATTCCTGGATTAGTCGATAAATCGAGAAGGAACAGATAAATCACATAAATCAAATTGAATCATAACAATTCTTGTTTTGTTATCTTGTTGCAATTGGTTTTTGAATGAGTGGGTGTTGTTTTTAATGAAAATAAAGTGAAATTTTAATCAGAATTCCCACTCTATATCAGCCTAGGTACGACCAATTAAAAGAAAAAAAGGTATATTGCTTACTTCACTAAAATCGCTAAGGTACCATAAAAACAAACCTTTTCCGTTTCAATTTCAATCCAGTCTCAACCTTTACACGCAGATGGCTTTTAGGGCGTTGAAAAAAAGCTTTCTGCTCTACAAAGCCAACTGTGAGGTAAAGTTGAAATGTCACACTTTAAATGAATTGTTCCTAATCTCCATTGTAAAGTTTTTGCAAAGTGCCTTCCATGACCAGCTATTACCACAGAGTCGATTAGTGAAAACAACGCAAGAGCATAATGGATGAATAAGCTTTTGGAGAAAGAACTTCGTGCAATCATGCATGAAATACGTTTGGATTGTGCTTCACTGGAGGGGAAAAGATAGATGAAATATAACGAAAAAAAAGATTTTTTTTCCGTTATGTTGCATTTATCTTTTCCCACATTATTTCTGATGTCCTATCGCACGGCTACTTACAAAAGTTAGAATTTGGAGTCCGTGAAAACAGTCGAAAGGCAAATGATGACCTGACGCAGGCGATTATTAGCATTTTCAATGACTCCAAAAATAGCTGGTTTACGTTTCACCTGTAATTGAAAAAGTGAATAAATGTGCCAATTGCGATGTTTGTTTCCAGAAGGTAAATAACATACACCAGGTAGTCTAAACTTAGGAAGGAAATCATATCGTGGAGAAAGAGAATGGACCAAACTGTTTACATAACCTGGTGCAAATTTATGAAAGAGAAAGATGGGATTTTTATCTATGGAACTCTCTCGACTGATATTGAGTGAAATCTGAAATATTAAAAGATTATTTAGACAAATGAATTTACACCCACGACAAATTCAAATTTCTGTTTTTACAATTTCTACTCAGTTTCTGCTTCCATGGTAAATGGAGTCTCATTTTCGGAATACGTAAACTGATTCTATTTGCAGCCGATAAGTGATGCTTACCCGGAGTTCAGAGGTGTGTTTACTGTGGACGTATTGGACTGTTATTAGGATATAAAGTACAGTGTACATTGAAAAAAGAATAAATAACCTCAAGCAGGCATTGATCGAACACTTTCTATCTTCACCCGCTACATCCATTTTAATGTTAGAAATCAGATTAGAAAATGTGGAATTGTGTTCATGAGCAAGCCCATTTTAAAAGTTGACAGGGTTGAGAGGAATGAAATAAGACTTAACTTCAAACTTTAACGACAATTGCTGCAATAACTGCTCTGTTTGATATAGCCCGATTACAATAAGCGGAAGATCAGTAGGAAAGTTGAGTTTTTTTAAAGGAAGATTTATTTTGGGAAAACGTGTGAAACTTTCTTTTTGTTCTCTAATTTGTGACAGACTCATCTCTGCTCCTTACTCAGCAGTCACAGTATTTTTTTGAGGATCTGTTTCGTAGTCGGCTGGATTTAACAGATTATGAGGATCAAATTTCTTCAAGCAACATGGTGTAAATTTTAGAGGAATTGAAAGTTTGGATATTCAGATTGTGTAAATTGTGATGCAGAATTTGCCATATGCTAAATAGAGATAATTTACTTTAGTTTTGGGCGAGCGGCCAAGTTGTCTTTTGCTGTGAGGTGGACCTCAAGGGTTGGTCGCTTCTTGTAGGAATCCACTGGATGTTCGTTCAAAATTAGTTTCTTAAGAGCGGATCCCTTTTCCTTTCCTTCATTTCCGAATTTTGTTTTATTTTCATGACAGGAATTAGAATTAAATCAAAACTCAATCACTCTATCGTAAATAAGTGAATAAAACCCCGAAATTGTCTCAAAATCCCTACTGATTTTTGATGAAGGGCTTGAACCAAATTAGGACGATCTCGATGAACAGCTAACACACAGCTTACCTGGCTTGCAAGACGTGGTAGATCACCAACTGAAAATGTCCATCTAAGTCAGTTTCAAATCTCTAAAAATAACTTCAGTTTTACCATATCACAGAGAAAAAATGAGTTTATAATGGGCTCTTTAATGTGTTTCCATTTAGTTGTTTGGCATTTTTAATGAGTGACAAAAAAACTGAGCTCATCAAAAAGCTCAAATTGCTCACATTCCACGAAAGAATACCATTCAGACATTAGATTAGATGTCCATTGCTGGAGAGCATCTAAGTCTTAAGTTATTTTAATTTGGGAGGATTACTCATGGTTTAATGATAGGTAAACGAGGTTATTTCCTGAAAGCTTTTTAAAATCAAATTACATTCGTCGCCTTAGGAAGCGAAATTTTCATAGTGATTTTGCGACACTTCATTAGACAGTGAGTGCGACACGAAAACTGAGACGGATAAATGCACCAAGACAATCAGCAAATGTCGTATATTTTGAGTCGATTTGTCAGTTCAGTGTATGAGACAATTGACTAAAAAAATGGTAATAGAAATAAATTTAACCTCCAGCTGTGGAAAGATGGTATATTTTATCAAGAATACTAGCCAAACTTAGTTTTTATCTCCTCAAACGCGATAAAGAAATGTTCAGCCAAGAGTTTTAATATTCAACAATTATTCGCAGAAATAGAATTGAACAATTGTTGTGGTATATACCACCGCGCGGAAACAAAAATTTAGTTTACTTCTGTAAATATACCGGAAGATGGTCAGGAATTAAGCGTGACTTTGTCTCTTCTGCTGCTCGGAGGCGAATAGTACTTGCCAGTATTTGCACATCTTGATCACTCCGATAGCCATGAGCCACTGATGATTTTCCAAAATAATTATTACTGAAATAAGCAACAAATGAATTTCGCAGGAGGGTTGAATTCATGTTAAAGGTGATATCCATCCCTACACCCCACCACTTAGTGGTTTTTGACAGGATTTTTCGAGGACTTTTCCACATTTGAGTTTTATGGAGAGATTCGGTAATGTAATTACGCTATACCAGCGCTGTGATTTTCCGCGTTTCAAGTGCGATAAAATGCAACACCGTATATCAGTAACATGAATTTGTAACCCTCACCGCTCTTGGAAAATGCGCGATTTCAGAGAAATTCAATATAAAAGATTGCAATTTTCCCATAGTTTCGTAGGCAAAAAAAAAAAACATTTCATACGCGGGTTCTCGTTAGGAGCCTTGACATCATTGGCAAATGGGGTTTTGAAGGGAAAAAGCAACTAATTTTCTAAAAGGTCGCGAATTCAGTCCCTCACGTTTGATACCTCAAAAGTGGTATAAAATAAGTCTAGAAATTTTGTAAATCAAGCAAGAAGAGTGCAACTGACAGGAATCTTTACCTTTCTTTTCGTGAGTGCTTAGTTCATACTATCTGCCTTTGCTAACCGCAAACTACTCTTATGTTTCTGTTTCAAGTTGGTTTCTCACCAAATTGAATGCCTAAGCTTTCTCCTTCGCATTTGATAATTAAAATTGCAGATGACAGCTCGAGACCTTCAATAATCCATTTCAAAGTAAGGTGAAAGGTAAAATCTGAAGATCAGGTACAAGGGGGCGTACAAGAATATTTTGAGACTGTTTTTTACAGAGTGGTAGCTTTAAATGATAGTTTTTTCGGGGAACAAGAACACTGAAAAGCTAATAAAACACCAAAAACAAACAAGAATGGTTACGGATGCGGCGACTTACCAGGGGTGAAGATTAAAAAGGCGAAACATTTCGACATAATCAAAGACTTTTGAGTGATTAGC